TTGAAAGTTGACATCCTTATTTAGAAACTGACAAAGTTAACATCCTTATTTAGAAAAAAATTGAAAGTTGACATCCTTATTTAGAAACTATCAAAGTTAACATCCTTAAATAGAAAAAAATGCAAAGTTAGAATCCTTATTTGCACCTTTACTCTCAATATTATAAGAAAGCTTTGTTTCTCCAGTTTTTTTAGAAGCCTCAACCCATACCAACGCAAGCATTTGGATTGTCTCCATGCTTTGCACAACGTAATATGCGGTCAACAGAGCCATGCATGCTAAATGAGCCTTCAAAATCTTGTGTGCCTTTCCACCCTCCAAAGCAGAGTCTGGTGCTCGTTTCTTTCCCTCTTCTTTCTCCTTCCCCGGTCTCTCGTCCTTCTCCGGCCCTCCGCCCTCTGGCCCTTCGTCGTCTGGCCCCTCGTCCTCTTCTTCATCCTCTTTCATTTTCTTACCCAGGTTTTGGGCTTTCAGAAAAGTCTGAAATTCAGCTTCCCTTCGCATCAATGCAGCGTCACTTCGCAAAAATTCAGCTTCCCTTCGCATAAATTCAGCTTCAATTCGCATCGTATTAGCATGCAATCGCGTTACGTGAGCTTTCCCTGGTATCAATTCAGCTTCCCCTCGCAAAAATTCAGCTTCCTTTAGCAAAAATTCAGCTTCCTTTAGCAAAAATTCAGCTTCACTTTCCGTACATTCAGCCTCCGCTGGTGTAAATTCAGCTTTCCTTCGCCAAAATCCAAGTTTCTTTCGCAAAAATTCACCTTTCTTTCGCATATATTCAGCTTTCCTTAGCCGAAATTCCGAAAATGCAGCTGCAAACCAAAAAACAGGAAAATCAGGAAAATAAAATTATGGCAAAATTTTCCCATACTTTAGCAAAATTAATCCAAAGGAATAAAACAAAAGGTATGGTACACATGGATTCAGAACCAAGTCTAGGTCAGGCCAACTTGACATAAATGTATAACAAAGGCTTATTAGGATTAAGAGGCTGTAAAGAAAAGAATCAAAGCCATCATGCTTGCTTGAAGAATAAGGTTTTCTAACATCAGAGTGGCCCACGACAATTAACAAGGGCCATACCATTTTCTTCAGAATTATTCAAATTCATGAGTAAGACAGGAAAATAAAAACAGAATCCAAAAAATAATTAATAAATAAATTATTTCTATGAATAAGATTTTAATTTTTACAGAGTCTCATCTGTCATAATTGACACTAGCACTAATTAAAAAGAGTGATGGTCAGGAATAATAATAATAATAAAAAGTTCAACACAAGACCTTTTTATATAAAGATTTGAAATCCAAAAATGCTTTTGCAGGATGGGATTATATATTTTAAAGAGGATAGCATGTGCTAAAAATTACTTAAATTTTGATTTTTAAAAAATAAGCTAAAAGGAGAGAAATTAAAATTTAAAAGAAACGAACCTGTTAATGAATTAAGGGGTCTTTTTCCAAGGTATACAGAAATTCTTTTATGTCCACTGGCAGAGGCCAGATCGGCAGGTGTAATGCCTGAAGGATATTCTGGTGATCGCGTTGTTGATGCTCCAGGATCTGCACCCAATGAAATGAGGGTAGCCACCGTCTTCTCTCTGAAGTTGAAGAAAGTTTATGTCAATAGAACCAACACAGAAAAGATCAATGAGTCAGAAATCACCGAGAAAATAATACATAAGCTTCTTAAAGCATGAAATGTCAGATGATATGCCATTTTTCACGTATGTTTGAATCTGAAATTTCAAGAAAGATATATTTTCCCTGATTATGGAGTATTTGCTAACCTACAGAGCCATTATTTTAGAGTCTTCTGTGGATCTTCTCTTGTGGACAACAGCAAAATGCTCAAAAAGGAAAAGAGATAAAGAAACATAGAAGAAATGGTAACCTTAAATAGAAATAATCAAAAGAAGTGTTGAGCTGTTCACCTGCCAAAAAACGCTGCCCAGTGAAGTGCAGTCCATCCATTCACATCACGGAAATCAACACTTACACCAGCATCTATAGTAGGCTTCAAAGCCCAATCATAGCCAAGTGCAGCTGCCAAATGTAGAACACATTGTCCACCCTCATCCAATATCCTAGGGCCATTACTACCTTCAGCAACCTTCTGTACGATCCATACACGCAACTTCTCTTTCAGACGCTTCTGAAGCAGCTGGTCCGTTAATTTTTCTGAGGGAAATTCTGTTCCTGATCCAGTCTTTGACATCTGGTCCAATTCTTTGTTGTCCCCTTTCAGCAATGAACTGATTTTACTGCTCAACTGGGATGCATCCTCTAAGCTGCTGGTGACAGAATTTGTGGCACTGGAGGCTGACCACGGTATGTTATCAAAACGCAGAAGAAGATTTGCCCCAGCACTGTCACTATAGTTTTCAGCAGCATTTATATCTTGGATATTTAATTTCCCTTCAGAAGGAATGCTGGAAACATCATTCTCATTTTCGTTCTCACCTGTTCCCCTGTTGGCCCCAGAACTGGACATCTTCTTTGAACCTTCTTCTGTTAAAAGTCCATTGAACAAATGCTGTCCTATAGAAGAAGAGTAGACTAATTTTCCCTCAAACTTCGAGTCACCATCTGAATCTAGGGGTAGAACATAACCGTCTTTTTCATTTGATAATGATTTTTGAAAGTGATTTTCCTTTGAATTATTATTTCTTAAATCCAGACGTTTCTGCAGAGGGTCAACAGAATCCATTAGTTCAAGGTGATTAACTTCTTGCTCATGAAATTTAGAAGTCGCATCACATGCTGATTCTGATAAAGATGAAGAACCCTCAACTGAAGCCTGTTTGGAATTCAAATTAAAGACTGAAAATAATTAAACTCAAAGCCAAATGCTAGATATATACTGTGATTTGATGCATCAAACTTTAGCAGCGTTAATCAGTCAGTACCTTTGATTTTTCTTGAATCTGTGAATGCCACCCAAAGGAAGACAATGATTCGAGCTCCATGGATTCACAAGGAGTAAAACACTTCCCGTCATCTTTACATGTTGTATACTCATGGGAAGTCCAGGAGCGGTCATCTGTTGGTTGTGCTGGTTCAGCATGCAAATCACTATTGCTCCTGTTTAGTTGAAAGGGGTCCGATTCTATACCAAAATTGTTTGGCAAACTTTCAAGAAAACTATCTGTTCAGAGAAAAAAGTATTAAGAATTAGTGAAAACTGAAAAAGCAAACTTTAATTCAAAATAATAAAATAACATAAATAGCTATTTTACTTGAATAAAATAGAGGAACTTTAGGATCAGAACCTTCAGCATATATCTGTTCTGCAGCAAGCTGCGGTGAGTCAAGACCAAAGTGAAATCCAGAACTTGCTTGGTAATTATATTCTGCATCAACAATCATGCTCATCAGTGGAATATGAAAGGCATTAATGCATTCATCATCCAGAAAACTACCATACATTTTCTAAATTGAACAGATTTACAATTTATGATGTCACAGAACAGACATATTGAAGCTAAACAAGGTTCACCTGATTGAGCATTTCCATGTTCCAATGCCTGTGCACCATCCGGAAGTGATGTATTTGTATATTCTGAAACTGAAAGCACTTGGCAATCATTTGGATGAGAACCAGGACACCTGGAACTGTCAATTTTAGAATTGGACATAATTTCTTCACTCTCTTGGCCTTGGGAATATGGACATGCCACTTGAGCCTCTTTAACACGATAAATATCTTCACTTTTTCCCTGATATAATTTCAGAAAAAGAATATAAGAAAAAAGGGCTCTATGATGAAATTGTTCATCATCTTATTGACAAGAGTAAATATTACGAAAAGTATTGGATCCCATCTGATTTTACTAATGTGTACGTCCAGTCCAGCGTCCAGAAACTTATCTTAACATCTGTAATATAACTTGCTTCTGTGACAGTAGACATTGAAGGCTTTAGATATAATTTTTTAACAAGTCCTCACAATGCCGTGATATGAAAGTGTAAGGTTTCTTTCCTTCAGAAAAAAGCCACCAAGATAGTGGAACAGGAGGAAAAACATAGCATAAATCTGGCACATGACAAACGGCAACATTTTTATCACACTATGGAAACAACTGTTCATTTTAAAGTACAACTCAACAGCAACCACTCGGATGGTTGGGGATGAGGATACTGGTAAAGAAAAGTAGAAGATGGAGACCGAAAGGAACATCTTTGAAGAAATGAAAGAAAAAAGACCAAGTCCAAGACAAAAGGAGTAAAGACATTCTTGGTTGGAATCAAGGAATAAATTACTTCACATACCCAAATATAATAAAGCTCTATTGTTAAGAATAGTCAAGAGTTAGACCCAACAGTAACCATCTGATGGTATATTTCTGACAATATATCTGCATGCTCTTATAAATATTTCCAAATGAAAAAGAAAACATAGGATGACATGATATACTACATATATCACCATAAACACTATGTAATACAGCCACAAATTACAGTGACAGACTATACCAGAAACCAAAATCAAGTCAATTCCCATAAAAAAATCTAAGTCAATGAAATTGTGTCCTGCTAGCCAAATTTTTGCAAACTCAATGGAAAAAGAAAAGGAAAATAAACATAATCAATGTGGGGGTGTCATAACCTGTCCTCAAATGCATAGAATAAAACCTGTTAGTCCTTAATTGGAGGGACTTGATTTAAGAAAGGGAAAGTTGGTGGTTGCATGGCCAATTTCGTAAAACTGTAAAAGTTGCTTAGTGGAGTTTGATTGACTAGCACAAGCTTGTCATGTTTACACAATTACACTTGTCTTATACATAGACAAGTGGCGTGGGAGCTAGTGGAAAATCATTAGCAAAACCCCATGGTCTCATGCATGTTTTGATTTAAACATTTGAGAACTCTTTTACTTTCATTTTCCTTTTACAACCGCGAGAGAGGGAGAGGAGGAAAGGATTGCGAAGGGCAGCTTCTGTTCTCATCTTTTTACGGTGTTTCCTACTTAGCAACTGGTATATATTTGTGCTTATGGGCGGACCCAGAGGAGAGTAACAGTTAGGGAGCTGCCGATCAACCAGTGAAGAAATTGCAGGAAATTCAAGGAAGTTCCACCCAGGATAGCAATGGGTTTGTGTGGTGAGTACAAGTTACTGCCTTTGTAGCTTAATTAGATGTAAGATGGTAATTACATAGTTTAAAATGACTCTAGAATTAAGCTAATACAAGTTAAAGTGGGTTAGAATGCTGTACATAGCTTATTGGTGATGGGTTTTTGACATGCTGGTGGAGATTAAGGATTAGAATCAATAACTTATTGTGTTTGAGAATGTTTATGAATTGTAGACATAATAGACGAAGTTTAATGCTGGCCGTTGTTAAAGATAGCAAGTATATAATAAATCAGCAAATAAACTTGCGAAGGCTAACAGGCTATATATATCGTAGCTATGCTGTAACTGGAATGAAGATGGGAGTCCAATTGTATAAAAGTAATAAAGGGATGAAATAGTTATAATAACCAGATTTATAGTCTGCAATTGATTCTATTGACATAGGGATTTTTGTATTAAGTATTCTAGGCATCTCCATTGTATATGCATATCAGGTTCACCGGTTATGATGAATGAATATAGACTGCCTATATTCTGTAATCCTATGTTGATACCCAAAAGATGTTATCAGATCTATTTGTTATTGAATGCTTATGATCAAAATGACATGAGTTATAGTTAAATGACATTCAGTGGTCAGTGATGATTATGACTAATACTTATGATCAATGAGGTACAAGATCCTACTGATAGCATTGAAACATTGTCGCATACAACTTGCATTGCATTGTTTTCTATGGGGTTGGGGGGGGTATTGACCTATGCTAAAAGCCAGGTACTATTGTGCTTAAGTGAGCAGCCATGGTTGTTGTTATTGACCAATGCACAGTTGGGTATGCCATGACAAGTTCTGGCAGAATGTGAGTGTACCATATATTGATTAGTTGACCCCATGACATTGTATTTGTATTGAGCACATATCCCCAGAATACTTTTCTTTCACCAAGGTTAAGGTAGTAGACATACTTGCTGAGATTAAGTATTGAAGCATGAAATGAATGTGCTTGTTTGCTAATAGCTTTATTGATAAGTCCCTGCTTGATGTTTTTTCAATTACTGACGATAGGTTGATTCAGCTAAACCTACTGTTTTGTATTCTGTTATAACTACAAGCTTATGATGGATTAACCAAATGATCTTCTTAAATTGGTTAAGAGTTCTACCATGGCTCTAAACTGTAACTTATACTTATTGGGCTTCATAGCTCACATGGTTCTTTTTCCAACCATTTCAGATTAGTCCCAAGAGTGGAGTATAACTGGGATTTCTGGAAAATTGGGGGATTTCTGGAAATTTGGGAGCTTTCTGTGATTGCTATTGTGAACAAGCTTACTCAAGCCTTTTAAGGTAAACTTGAACCTGCCGAAAACTGTATCCTGGCTCAAAGTTCTTTGAAAACCTATTTGGGTTACTCGTAAAACTATTATACCTTTTTTCTAAAAAGAAGAATTTATTTACTGACCATATGTATAATCTAGACTTTGGAACTACACTGATTTTTCTTGTTCAATCCAATATTTTAAAGTTCAGGCTTCCTGCGCTATTGCCATGATTTTTCTAAAGCTATCTACAACATTGCAAACTTTAATTTAACAGCTTACGCTATAAACTACAGAAGGTTCCACATGGATTTTATCTTCTACCCTGCCAAAATCTTCTTGAATTTTTCTTAAGTGAATGCTCCTTTTTATTAAAAGCAAGCATTG